TCTTCACTCAAACGTTGAAGAGTGATATCTGTGATATATCTGGCAAGATATATGTGATATATCTGGCAAATTGAAGCAAGAAAATGCAAGCAGAGGCAAGAGCAAGCAGCAAAGCGACTGCACTATCTCATCAAGGTCACAGTCGTTAAGGTTATACAAATACAGAAAGAAAGAATAAAAGAAAGCAGGAAAAAACAGAAAGACAGTGAAAGAGTGAGAGCGAGGCAGTCAAAGCCAGTGTGCATGTCTGGCATGCTCACGTAACCTTAGTGAGCTGGTCCCTAATGGAAGAGCAGACACAGATATCACCCCAGGGCCCTGCGCTCTATCTCAGCCTCTCCTCCTTTCACCTCTTGAACACGCTCCCTCCCTTTCTCCACCTCCGTCACGTTCATTATCTTAATCATCTCGTTTCTTCTCTCTTTTCCCTAGCAGGGACTTCCCAGCAACTATGAGGGAAGTGCGTCTTAAACTTCATGTCATTTTAGGCATTTAGCGATTTCTTCTTTGCTTGTTTGTGGCATGAATCAGAGAGGGTGAGGCTTCCTGCGTTACTTCCATCTGTCTGCCCGTGTGTCTGGGCTCAGGTGTGCCGTAGTGAGAGTCTCTGCCGTAATAGAAGCCAATTTAATCCCTGATCAGTGGGGGGGGGGGAATGAAGTCACTCTGAGACACTCAGCACGACATCCATTATTGCCGCCGCCGCTCTCGAATGTCAGCACAAACTCTCAGGCTGTTGACATCATCAGGATTGGAAGTGTCAATTCAAATCGCAGAGGTAAAATAGCGCTGAAATGATTTATTCCAAGAAATGCGATAATGTGAGATTTTATTGATCCCTCATGCAGGAAAAATTCTCTCAGGGCTTCACGGTAAAAATCAAAATGCCAACTATAGCTGCTAGTGATTCGAGGTCTTGCACAAGAAACCTAAAGGTCGGGTAAATCCCCCCCCCCCCCAGATAACCCACAGGATCATCCAACTGCAACATCTCTCGCCATCAGCGAATCAGACTGCAGAGAAAAGCCATCTAAAAGTCTTTGCTCTGTCTGACTCATAATTGGCTCAAGTAATCATTGGATTGACCACGCCCGACGGTGAATCAGTCTACAGGCAGGTCTGCTGGAAATGTCACTGTGATGACTCACCTTTTCAATGACGTGATGTTGTGTTCCCATCAGGGTCACGAAACCATAATAAGGGCCAAATATGTAGCGAATAAATTTCACTCTCGAGGCTCTGACTAAGCCTCATTTCAACAACATCATTGTTGTCATTTTGGTGTTAAAATCGAAAAGCATTAATAATAGTTTCGGGAAACCTGACTGTTAACTGAATCGAATGCCAGGAGATGAGTGTCGTCCCTCACAACAACAACAGAAGACCACAGTATCTGAAAGGAAAGTGGAATCTCTTTCAAACGCATCTTCAAACTCAAGACCAAGAGTCTACAATCACGCAGGTATATCCTTCACCATGTTTGCCACCTTAGTTCAGCATGATTACATTGCTAACATTTACTGGATAGCACAAAACACAAGGTGCAGTGTAGAAGCTGAAGAGTTGTTGAGATACTTCAGTTTGGACCAAAGTGCTGGACTGACTGACATTATCATTCGTAGAGTCACGCTGCTAGTGAGGCTAAAAAGAGATCGCATTAATTTATCTTACAACAGATCAGGTTGGATTAAGTGCTTTAACGTTAAATTGATTTGAACACACAATTCGTAGTCGATTGAAGCGATCAATTCCTTTACGTGTGCTATATTGACCACAGCATCCTCTGCACTCGTATTTTGCCACGCCTTCTTTTTGCTGTTTGAAACGTAGTTTGCAGTAGAAGCAAATGAGAATGAGGAAGTTCTGTTTCTGCTTTTGAAACTATAGAGCACGCTCCCAGAAGCGGAGATTATCCACCCCAGCTGAAATAGCGGCATGTAGTTCTTCCTTGCCTCCAACACTGTCACCTCAAATGATGGCCCTATAGATACAGGGAGAATGACATATTTTGCAGCTGCGAACTCAGCATTCTCGATCAATGTTGCACGCACTGAGCAATTTATTGATTCAATCGACTGCATTTGCCATCAATTGGTCAATGATTGGACGTCCACATAAAAGATGGCGAATGTTCCCTTTCAAATAGCATATCGCATATCATGCAACTTGAAAATATTCTGCAATTTACTCATTGCATCCTTTGCAGGAACTCTATACTAAAAGTTACAGTAACAGTATTCTGTATTATGCTAAAAATCACTAAGACTCTCGACATGCACATTCAGCAGAACAGAGCAGACATCTGAAACCAAGTTTGGCACACGGTGACCTCAGTAGTCACACTGTCAATACGAGCCACTTTGTAACGTATACTGCAACGACACTGTAGACTCACAGAGAGAGAGGGAGAGAGAGAGGGGGGGGGGGTGAATGAACAGGAAGCCAGCGCTACCACACCTCACAGCTCAGAGGAGCCAAATCATCGCTGCTCTCGTTGTACCTTCTAGTGCGTCGAAACATGCTGCTCGCTGGGTATCTGGGCGTAACTCTGTGTAGCCGGAGCGGCGGCGACAGCCGAGCGATGAGGGAAGAGCAGTCAGAAAGCAGCGGGTCTCTGGGAAAATGTCATCGCGGTGTAACGCATACTGCAGCTCCCACAAGCTTTAGATGTGTGCCGATGTCTGGGCAAGACCCGAAGGGGAGGGGGGGGGAGAGAGAGAGAGAGAGAGAGAGAGAGAGAGAG